TATATATATATATATATATATATATATATATATATATATATATATATATATATATATATAATGGATATATAATGGATAAATAGCATCTGTTGTACTTACTGTGCATAATACTTCTTATATACAGCATATACATGTTATATATGGACAATTTATTATGTACAAGAAGTGCAAAAGGCAAAAAAGTGGCAAAAAAGTGCAAAATAATCAACTTTTGAGGGCCCCTCTGCATTCTAGAAGGTCTTCTGCATTTATAAAGTCCTAATTATATTAATGGCGAGGAAAAATGGAGCTTTGGGACGGAGCAGAGGCGGGGCAGTTGAGGTGTACGTACACCCCAGCGGGGCAGTTGAGGTGTACGTACACCCCAGCGGGACAGTTGAGGTGTACGTACACCCCACTGCCGGTGCTCGCGTACACCGCAGCAGGCCTGTGCTGAAGGTTATGAAATAAATGCGAAATTGAATTTTGATTTAATTTTTAAATGAAATATTTAATTAAATCGAAAATGCAATTCATAAATGGGCATAAGGCGCCTGCATTCCGCCTCTGGTGGTTCCTGAAGTGCCGCGAGTTTTGTGCTGCCTGCTGCAGCAGGAAGCAGCAGCAGCAGCAGCAGCAGCAGCTGCTGCTGCTGCTGCTGCTGCTGCTTTCAATTACAAATAATAAAGGCTGGAGGTAATAAAAGATAAAAAGTGACGAAGGTTCATGAGTCAATTGGCTGCGATTTTCTACGCAATTCTCTCAGTGCCTCGAAGAAATAAAGAAATAATAGACAAAATAAAACAAATAAAATAAATAAAACAAATAAAATAAATATAATTCGCGTTAATAAAACAAAGTGAAGGTGATTTGGTTCGCCGCGTCAATAACGCGAATGCCACAGTGTACATACACCGCATTGATCATGTGCAACTGTCCATACACCGCATTCTGCAGAACAAATGGCGCTTTAATCTGCATTTAAAATGCAAAAAAGACAAAATAATGAATTAATAAAACAATTATATATTTAATTAAATGAGAAGTGTTTTATTTTGCGTTGAAAGTGCAAAAAAACATTTTGTTTCGCATTGGTAATGTGGATTTGCCAGTGTACGTACACTGCGGTGTGGGGTGCAGCAGCGCGCGCGGTGTATGTACACTCCAAGTGCTGCAGCGCTTTATACTACACTTCGCATTTCTTTGAGACTTTTCTTAAAATGCTACTGCTACCTTTTGCTGCTGCTGCTGCTGCTCTTGCTGCTGCTCCTCCCCCCATTGCTGCCGCTTCGTTCGAGCTGCGAAACTGAACAATAACCTACAAATTAGGGTTTAGGGTTTAGGGTTTAGAAGGGTTTCTGCGTCTACTACTACGCGCACTGCTGAGGTGTACGTACACCTCAGCAGCAGCGTTCTTTCTCTTTTTTCACTTTTAAAAAAGTTTTCGAAATAAATTAAAAGTAATTCGGAGAAGCTTTTGAAATAAAATGAGAAAGGGTTTGTGGGAAACCCCGAAAACACTAGGAGGCTGGTTGGGGAGAAGTTGCAAACCCTAAAAGAGGGTTTGAGACTGAGAACGAGCCAAAACCCTAGAGAAGTGTTTGCGGGCGAGGACAAGCTGAAACCCTAAAAAGGGGTTTAAGGACAAGAGTGAACCAAAACCCTAATAAAGGGTGAGACCGACAATGGGCTAAAACCCTAGAAAAGGGTTTGAGACCGTGAGTGGGGTGAAACCCTAAAAAGGGGTTTTTAAGGCCAAGAAAGAGCCAAAACCCTAGATAAGGCCACGAAACCGTGAAGAAGGGTTTGTAAGGCCGAGAGTGAGCGAAACCTCTAAAAAAGGGTTTGAGGAGGTCAGGGGGAGCGGAAACCCTAAAAAAGGGTTTGGGGAGGTCGGAGTAACAGGAAACCGAAAATAAGAGTTTGGGGAGGTCAGACTGGGCGGAAACCCTAAAAAGGGGTTTGGGGAGGTTGGAGAAACAGGAAGCCGAAAACAAGGGTTTGAGGAGGTCAGACTGAGCGGAAACCCTAAAAAAGGGTTTGGGGAGGTCAGACTGAGCGGAAACCCTAAAAAAGGGTTTGGGGAGGTCAGACTGAGCGGAAACCCTAAAAAAGGGTTTGGGGAGGTCAGAGGGCGCGGAAGGGCGCGGGAACCTCCAAGGGTTTGTCAGGGGAGCTGTTGAGGGTTTTGGGAACTAAAAAAAGAAAAGAAGGCAAAAGTTTGAAATGGCGAGAAAAGAAAAGAGGTTTTAAACACTTCGTGAGAGTGAACTCGCAACGCCGCTTCGCGTCCTGAACACCCAAACCCTAAACCCTAAACCCTAAACCCTAAACCCTCAAGAACGTCGCCGCTGCTTTGCAGCTCGAGAGCCAACTCCAGCTGCGCTTTGCGGGGCACAGCCACGCGAAGAGGGGCACCCTAAACCCTAAACCCCAAACCCTAAACCCCAAACCCTAAACCCTAAACCCTAAACCCTAAACCCTGAAAGATGCTTACCCGAGGCTCCACAACAAGAGAAAT